CATTAATGAAATCAGAAGACAAACGCCCTCTAGATGTTGTCATCTTGTCCAAGAAAAACACAGACATGGAAACAAGTGCCATCATAATGGCAGGAGGTCTAGATGTTACAGGACACCAATGTAATACAAGACAAGTTCCCTGTTCCTAAGGAATTTACATACCACTACTACTCATCAATTTCCATGTATGTTACATTCTTCAATGTGCCCTAGTCTCAGTTAACCCTTATAACCACTCTAGGAAGTAGATGCCGATATTATCTCATTTTAGACAGGACGAAACTGAAACACAGCAAGTTGAATGGGAGTTTAAAGTGACTTCTTTGGCAAAGATGGGACTTGAGAGTCCATGCTTTTAACTGCTGCACACCACCTAGGCAGTTAAAAAAATTACTCTCTTTGATACCTAAAACCTCAAGACCTATCTATCTCTAGGAGGCTTGACACAGGAATAAAGATTACCACCAAATGAAGTTTCCTGCCAATTCCCAGCAGCAGTTTGCCTTTGGCCTTCCTGTTTCCATGACACTGCTCTCCAGCTTGTCCCTTAGAGAGGAAAGTTCAAGGAGCTCCCTCAGCCTTTAATTATTGATACTGACAAATAATTAATCATTAGCTCTGTGGTTTGTAGGAATTTATAAGAAGAGCTATTTTGAATATGGCACATTTTATCTTCTAGCATATTTCTACATAGTTTCCCTTCGATAGAAGTGGTATACAAATCTACATATTTTCCCTTTGATAGAAGTGGTATACAAATCTGGGAATTATTTCAAAATAATCCATGGGTGGGGTGATAGAAAGGGGGATGATGGTAGTAGCACAGGGAAAACAAGTAAGTTGATGATTGTTTTCACTTAGCGACAGCTACACAAGGGCACGTTCTATTAATAGTTAATATTCTGCATTAACATTGTATTAATTTATGTACATGTCTGAAACTTCTCATAATACAATTCTGGAAATATAAAGTAAGCCCCTTTAAAGATAATCTGAGAGAAATCCTGAAAAAGCAGTACTGATTTGTGACTTTTAAGTAAAAACATGAAGTGTGATGGTTACAAGAGCAGTGGCCAAGATAATTCCCCACAAAACCAAGACAAACAATTATCAATGATCTCCTACAATAGCTTAAAATGTATGTGAAAGCATGTCGCACAGTATAAAGCACTAAATGAGTGTTTCTCATCCTTACCCACTTAAGGAGTCACTTAAGGAGAGTTTTAATATTGCAAATGTCCCTTCAGCATGAAGAGATTCTGACTAACAGGGGTTAGGGTGAGTCTTGGAATCTGTGCATTGGGGAAAAAAAAAAAACTACACAGGGCTGAGAACCTCTACAATAAGAAAACTGTTGTCATTATTAAGCAAATTACATTTGAATACTTCAGGCAGGCGTTTGCTCTATGGGCTGAAGGAAGGATAAAAGAAAACAGCAAGTGAAGTACCAAAGGCTGGTTCTTGATCATTTGGCACATTTATTACTGGGACTTAAAAATCAGAGAGGCCACAACAGGGCCACAGCTTGACAAATATCTAATTTGCTTAGAAGAATGTGGGACTATCATTAAGCATTTAAAGAGAGACACAGATGAGGAGGAGTATGAAGGCAGGAGCGTGGCTGGCTACTAGCTAGAGATCGTTCATGGCTTGAGGATACTTTCAAGTCATAGGATTTAGTTCACGAACCCAGCCAGGACCAAATAAAAGCTGACACAACTCATCCATTGCTAAGGCACAAATCACTCCTGGTGCACTCAGGCCCCTGAAGCCCCCTTGGCTCTCTGAGAGGTTTCAAATGGGTTTGGCTTGAGGTTGATAAAACCCAGTGATTCCCTGATCATATGAAAAGCCGATTAAATCATGATGTCTTGGAGTAGAATCCAAACATAAAAGTATATTCTAGAGATCTCTAGGTGATTCCACTGTGCAACCAAATTTGGGGACATGAAAATAAAGTATTCTTTGATGAACCAATCTGAAACCACAGCTGCAAAAAAGAGCTACTCCTTCCTCTTTAGCTGAGATTGTCACCTGCTCTGGCCCATGTTTCTCCTGATTTCTCATGTAGGTTAAACCACTTCTCTTCACCCCACACCATATCTCACCTGTGTCCTCACCTGCTGATTTGTTCCTGGCTGTGCTTCTCACTTTACAACTTCGACCACATCATTACCTTGCTCAAAAATTTCTAATGAACCCCATTCTGATCTGGAGCTTTGTAACCAAAATATAGTTACCTGGGAGCGTACAGAAAGGTACAATTCCAGAACCCATCTGGGTCTACTGAATTAGAATCTGTATTTACTAAGATCCCCAGGGGATTTGTATGAACATTTAAATTTGAGAAGTATTATTCAAGAGCACTATTCTCCAAAGTATATTTTGAAGGACACTCTCAAGGACAGAGAGTATCCTGCCTGGATTCAAAGTCACACCATTCCCTCTCTTTACAGGGCATCTGTCCATTCAAAAAGTAGTTACTGAGTGACAACTATGTCTCATACTGCGCTGGGTTTAGAGGATCCAGCAGTCAAGATGACAGAAATGGTGTCTGAATTCATGGACTTATAGCAAGGACAATACTGACATGGAAAGATAACTACGGGGGTATTATAAAGGGGGATGCGCAGGATGCCCTGGGATTATCTAGTTAATGAGGTAAACTGGGGATGGCCTAACACATCTGGGAGATCTGGAACATGAGAATAGCATTCCTGGGGAAATGCCGCTAATGCAGGTCCCTGTGGATGCACGAGATCAAAACAGATGGGGCATCTGAATACAATGACAGCTTCAAACACAACAGGTGCAAAGACTCAAAGCAACTATGGAAATGCTTGCCCAGTGCTTACTCCATGCAAGGCAGGGCTCTAGGTGCTTTCCATATATGTAGGTGTGACTATTAACCCTGTTTTATGAACAAGGAAACTAAGGCACAGAGAGATGAAATAATGTGTCCCCATCACAGAACAAACTCTGAAACTCAACCTTGTCCATCTGGCTCCAGCATCTATGTTCTTAGCTATCACAATTTACAGCTGTTGAGCTGGGAAGAACATGATGCATCCAAGAAGCTGAAGAACAGGCCATATGTCCAGAGTTCAAGCAGTGTTTGTTCACGGATCTTTTTTTTTTTTTTTTTTTTTAATCATCAGAAGGAGAATGCATTACCATTCAGGAGCAGCTACTTACAACTCATATTTTTGGGGATCATCCCATAGTTACCGAATCAGAATATCTAGCTATGGAGCTGAATATCTGCATTTTAGTAATGCTTCCAGATGATTCAGAAACAATAAAGTCTGAGGACCATAGGTTTAGACATACAATTTCCTTCAATATTCTCCTCCCTCTCATAGTCCCCCTAATTAACCCAGAGTTATTTAATAATATATTGGTCCCAAGGTATAAACTAAACATGAGGATAAATAGGATTGAAGTGGAAAGTTGGAATAAATCTGAAAATTGAATCTTTGCTCCTCCAGGTCCCCTGGCTGCCAGGCTGTGAAAAGAATTACCTAGGCTTGAAAAATTGGAGGCAAAAAAAGACCACAGAGGCTTAGAACTATTTTCATTACAATGCCACCATTTAAATAACTAATTGAATCTCTGGAAATTGAGGTAAAATTTAAAATTGCTGGAAGAGCAATTATTTCACATGCTCTCTGATTCCTCCATCCTTAGCCAGTGCTAGAAGACTCTCAGGCAGCAGAGAATTTTCTTGAATGTAGAATACATGCTAGAGCAGTAGCTGAAGTAATCTCCGGCCACTAGGGCCACTGGCTCAAGAAAACTAATATGCTTCCCTCAGTGTGAGGGGACCCTGACAGCTCCAACACCAGTATCTGGCTGCCAGTGGGGTATTCTTTTAATTCAGTCTTTCCTCTCTTATAATCACTTAACAAAGGAATTATGCTAATTTCTCGTAAGGAAGAAACTAAAAGAAATAGCTGAATCTCAGTAAAACTCCTTCATCATAGCTTATTTTATTTTGCTGCATTTTCCCAATATTTATCTTTATTTATCTTTGAATGTCTTTCAAGTACATTACCACTAAAATTCCAAAAGTCATCCTCCTAGATGCTGCCTTTCAAATGGTTCAGAGAGATCATAGCTCTTCTGTCCCGATCTGCCTGGAAGTGACATTATCCTGTTCATTCAGTTAGTTTGCTTACTTGATATCCCCATTCAAGAAAATAAGTTTGGAAAAGTTTCTGGAAGAGACTGTTATTTTTATCCCTCAAAAGATCAGAAAAATATTCCACTGTAGTTTTCCAGGTTCTTTCATTTTCAAAATATTTATTTTAATGCTATCCATAACAAAGCTCACTGGATACAACCATGTCAATTTTGACAAAAGAACATTAAGAAGATGAAATGGCATGGTAATGAAAACCTTATGCAGGTTCCCCACCACTGCAATGTAAGACACAAATGGTGACAATCTTCCATAGCTGTCACTACCCCTTTGCCAATCACTGATGGGGGGTTTGATGTGTCAAGCAGATCGATGTCAATGCTGGTCCCCTTTTCATATGATACAACTTGTGAATCAAAGAACGTGGGGGATCCTAGATGCACAGGGATGGACTTTCCCAAGAAAAGGTGTGAATGGGGCGCCTGGGTGGCTCAGTTGGTTAAGCGACTGCCTTCGGCTCAGGTCATGATCCTGGAGTCCCGGGATCAAGTCCCGCATCAGGCTCCCTGCTCGGCAGGGAGTCTGCTTCTCCCTCTGACCCTCTCCTCTCTCATGTGCTCTCTCTCTCTCTCACTCTCTCAAATAAATGAATAAATAAAATCTTAAAAAAAAAAAAGGGTGTGAATGCTCTCAATCTCTGGGATAGGTTCTCTCCTCCCAGGACTGCATACAGTACTACCTTGCCCCTTCTTCCAGGAGGCTAATACAGCCTTGTCCTGCCTGAGAAGACATGACTAGCCAGAGAAGGCTAGGATGTGTGGATGAAACCCAATTTACTCTGGGCACTAGGGTTATGATTCTATGCATCCTTCCTTTCCTTGGAGTTGCCTTTTCTTACTGTGGCAATGGTAAGATCCACTGGACCAAGGCTAGGGTATGAGACTATGGGAGAAGAACCAAATTATTAACTCTAGGTCTTAGGTGGAAATGGAGCTTTTGGACTAGGAAGTACTTGTATCTCCACACGGACTAGCTCATCACAGGGAGTGCAATAAGCATGGGGGGAAAGACCTGTTTTAAGAAAGAGGGTCATTTTACCAAAGTGCTCCTGTGTGTTTTTTAGGACTCAGGTATTAAGTATCCTGGATCATTGTCCTCTAAATACATCCAGGTGTATAAAGTAACACCATTTATAGTAAAGAAACACAAATCTTATATTGTGAATTCCCATACCTATTCAACGCTTTTTACATATCTGTCCTTGTTCTTCCACAGGCTTATATTTATCAGTGATGTAAGCACAATGCTTAAGGCCCTATAGTCTAATAAAGATGCCTCCAGTCAGACTCCCAGCACACAGGAGCCACAAAGAAACAGTGTTGGTGATGAGGCTTTATAAGGAACCACATGTGAATGGCTTTTCAAAACACCACAACAGGGATCCCGGAGGATGAGCACTCCTGCAATGCACTCCAGTGATATTACAGCATCTAGCAACTGAATATGTTTTCCCTGCCAAGTCCTGATGGATCTGGAAATTCAAGACTTCATTTACAAATTTTACCAACCTTGCTTCCCAGGGGGACATGCAAATAGAAAAGAAAGATGCTCCCATTCTACAGTCTCTCATTTATTTAGCAGTGAGGAAGGCAATTCAGGTGGGTTAGGAAGAACACTAAAAACAGAATGCACCGACCTGGTTGGCAGGACTTCGGGCAGGGTGTCCACTCACTGAAAGCTGTCACAATGCAGTCTTTTTTGCACGGGAGAAGGCAAGGACGCACTGTTTCGGGCCGAGTCGAATCTGGACATCTGTCAATGTGAAGAGACAATATCAATGCCTCCTGGAAGAAGTAAGTGACTTAGTGGAGAACTGTAGGATTTCAGAACAGAAAACACTGAGGCCCTGTTGTTCCTTCTACAGACAAGGAAGAGAGAGCCAGGGAGGTGAGGCTGCTTGCTCAAGGGCTCCCAGCCAGTGGCAGAGTCAAAGGCAACTTCAGTTCTCTTGACCTTGAGACCAAAATACTTTTCACTCATCCAGGAAAAGAGCAATCCCTGAAACTAATGAAAGGGAATGCCTTCACAAGAAAGTGTCACCATCAGCATCAATTCAAATGACATTTGATTTTTTTTTTTTTTCAGAATGAACACATCTGATATATTTCTTGAAAAGCATTTTATTCCGGGTAATATATCAAATCAATGATATTCTACAAAAGGAATAGGAAAATACAAGGCAATATATGAACATATTGGGAAACAAAAATCATTGAAAACCACTTAAATATACTCTACATCTTTGATAATGAATAGAACTTTAGAATATTTAAACGATTGGCAGGTATCTCTTTAGAACATGTGGACTGATGAGCAAAATATGACAGATAGCAAATGTCAAATACACTAACTAGCATTAACAAGAGAAACACTGCAGTTCTGTTATTTTGCTGATAATGAATGTTCACATTTGGGAGGAAAATACTACAGTCAATTGATTCATAATCACTTGGAAGAACTAAAGTCTCAGAAAATGGCAATCAAGCCTTTGTTTTCTTGCCTGCTTACTTGTTTTATGAACATAGAGGGCTAAAAACTACATTGATTATCTTCTAAAATGGTGATATGCCAAAAAGAAAAACAGGAAAGCCCTCAGCAACATATATTTGCATTTTAAATTCTGTTTCCCGTTAAGTTCCTCATAAAGCATATAAATGCAGTGTGGGTAAAGCTTAACAACATGAGCTCTGGTATTAAGTAGGCAGTGCTGAGTTAAGGGCTTTGGCTAGCTTCTTTCATTTATTCCTAATGACAACAGTGAGAGGCATTATAACCTTCATTTTCACATGATAAACTGAGGCACTGGAATAATCAGTAATGGACCCAAAGCCACATGGGGAGAGACCATTTGAGACAAATTATGATAGAAAAAAAACCCACCAGTGTAGCAAGTTCAGACAATCAACAGACCTTCTTGAAGGAGAGAAGAGAAAACAGAGGAGATAAAGCTAATGAGGAAACGATGAATCAAAAAAAAAAAGAGTTCAGATGAAAAGTCCAAGAATTGTATACAAAGTGACCAACATGCCAATGCAAAGGTTGTCCAGTTTTCAAACACCAAGACAAAGTAAGAGGACAGACAATAATGGATGTGGGAGAAGAGGAAGAAAAATTGGTCATCCAAGAGTCTGGCTGACATCAGACCTCATCAATCTGGATAATGATCAAAATGAAAACATTTTCTTAGTTTTAAAACTTTTAAAACAATATATAAGCCAAATGTGGAAGACAGAACTTGACCTTGGAACAGAATGTACATGATATCATTCATGCCACCATCAGGTAAAGAAACAGTGGACAAAGCAGGGGAGATGGAAGGGGAGAGAGACAGAGTGGAGGCTTGGTTGTCCTTATCTGACAAAGCAGGTGGGCAGAGTGACGATCTAAATATAAATGAAAGCAGAAATAAAGTTCTAAAAAGATCAACCAAGAGTACTAATGCAACCTTCCCACAGAACACCAACAATCTGGGATTTGAGACAGGAGTTAGTGTAAACGGGCTAAGGTTCATTGCTTTCATGAGAGGGAATCAAGGAATAGGCATTATAAATTGGTAAGTGAGGAGATGTATGATTAATGTGTGGAAAATGTATCATTTAGAGTTAAGAGGTAAACACGAGAAAGGGAAGAGGACGAAGAATATACACTTGTACTGACATAAAGATACAATGGACGGAGATAAGACACTAACACAGTGGCTTAGTGGCAGGACAGGGGGCAGGGAGAGGGGGGTGGGAGAAGGGCTGTGAGCATCAGGCTTCTCTTTGCTATATATTATATTTCTCCTTTCATGTCATTATGATTTGTGAACCATGTGAAGGCTTACCCAGTCAAAACGGGGGGGTGGGGGTGGGGAGTGGTGGTGCAGAGACAGAGACAGAGACAGACAGAAAACATAGAACAACTGTTAAAATGTGGCTGTGGTTGTGTTTGAGATGTGGGATACTAAACGGAGCAGGAGATGGGTGGGACCTATTGCTTGCCATCATTAGTCTCTCTGTATTATTTTACTTCCTCTATGGACTATATAAAACTTGGATAAAAATGGAAAATGGACATACAGAAAAAGAATTGCTCAATAAATTATTAGTGGCATTATTATTAATCATCCTTAGTATACACAGAAATGCTGCCTATCAAAGAGATCAATTCAATAAGCAAAACAACAATAGAAAGAAAGAAGAGTGTCTTCGTGAGAATATAGTGTTACTTAAACAAGCTACTTGGGTAAGGAAAATTTATGTCATACTTTATTAGAGATAGCAAAAAAACACTAAAATCATTCCCAAGTCCTTTATGCACATTCTGAGGTCTACTAAAATTAAATTGAGCTGCTCTTTATTCTAACTCCTCTCCAACAGCGCCTGGTGTATGGTTGGAAATGGAAGTGTGACTTGAGCAACGCCAGCTTCCTACGTGCCCAGTGGGGCAGCAGGGGCCCCACGCCCAACTGGCCATTTCACACTCACTCGTCCACTGGCAAAACAGCTTACAAACATTTGTGGCACTGGCTTCAGGCTTCAGAGGGAGGCTGATCTTGAAGGGATTTTGCTCACTTCAATTAGGAGTAGGTGTTAGTCTCTTCTAGGGAACTGATCTTGCCTACTTGATTTACCCTTGATTAGCAACACTCACAATAAATACTCATTGGGCATAGTGTCAGCTTTTCAGAATACAGCCCCCTTCTCTCTACACGTTCTTCCCTTAAGTCCGAAAGAGAGAAACAGTATCATCTCCTCAGTGGCAAAGATCAAGCTCAGGTTATATTGCTTTTATAGAGGCCATGAACTGGAATGTGATTTTTGGTCTGATAGAGCCAAATATTCTCTTGTCAGTGAAAACGGTTTTTTTGTTCATTTCTTTTGCCAGTAAGGTTGACCCTTTCTGCAGGGGTTCAACTTCCTCTTCCTTTCTATTCACATAATGTCTACCCCTTCAAGAATCATCACATTTCTAATTTTCGTAAGTTTCTTCTTAGCCTTCAAAAATACTGTCTTTGACCATTAGCAACATGTGTGTCCTCCATTTCTAAGAAAAACTGTAAGGTTTATTTTCTGTATTGTTGTATTGACATTGATCAAAAAAGGGTTTTGACTGCTTTCATGCTGTTTTCATGTGTGTGTGTGTGTGTGCGTGTGCATGTCTCTGTGTGTCCGTGTGCCTGTGTATGCGTGCACAATACATAAACTAATTTTTAATGCCTTGCTGGTGGAATTCCATCTTATATCATATCTTAAAAGTGCCATATTTTAGCTCAGTGTAAATATTTAATAACAGTAAGTGAATGATTGAATAGTATTCAGTGTTACTGGAGCCTGAAGACAAATAAATCCCTGGGGATATTAGGCTAATTTATCCAGCCATTTCCAAAACAAAATTAAAGCCTTAAAACCCAGGGAAACATATGGATTCACTTTTTAGTTAGTAAACAAAGTATGGCCCCTTGGCTTTTGTCATAATTTATACTTCCTAATGTCATGTAACACTCAGACTCTAGATTGGCAGTGCTTTCAATAAAAGGATGAATATATTTCACTTCAGCACATATATTTCCCTGGACCAGCACTGGAATGCTCTATAACTACTATCTCATTGTCACCCTGTAGCCTTCAGCTCCTTATAAGCACTGTGCTGAAATGCATCAAACTGAGCTACAAAGACCTGCCATTTTTCAGTTAGGCCTCCATAATCAAGATGCAGAGACGACGCTCCATTTCTTTGATCAGTCCTCTGACACAGGAACCAATGCACGTCTCACTCAGCTAGGTGGGGCAAACCTGTCAACTCTGTCAATGTTAAATGTTTAAATGGAGCTCTGTATTATTATATCTCACACAATGCCAGGTGTTTTCACATTAAAGGCAGAAAGTGCCTTATCAGGACTTTAGGAAGGCTCCGAATTGTATGTTTTTAATCTTTTTTATTATTATTACTTTTTTTGTATACTGCAACTGAAAAAAAAACAATGAATAGTGAAACAAAACTAAACAAAACCCCGGAACTATCCCAATAAGCTCTCACTTCTGTTCCACTTCTGCCCTGGCTAGTTCTCATTTTCTGATATGATCAGTTCTATTACTCATACAATGGTAACAATCTCACCTACACAACTGCATAGAAACCAAAACACCAACCCAGGGAAGCAAGAACTTGCAAGGAACTCTGCCTTCCAGTGCAGTGGGCTTGGAGATAAAACACATTATATTAGCCCATCCGTTCCATGGAGACATGCTTCTTTCTCTGTACCCTGAAGGCCCCTCCTTCTTCAGGATGTTTCCTTCTCCTTTTCTGTTTCTATTCCCCTACCCCCACCCCAAGGATTTCACAAATGGCAGGGAATCTTTTTCTACTGTAATAGCTTTCACATAAAAAGAACAAAAATTATATATTTTTCAGAAGGGCAGAACAAAAGATATTTTCTCCTGCTGATAGTTTCACTATCTCATTATTCACTTCACTGGACACTAGGTATTAATTTCTTAGCTCAATTCATCTCCTTAACCTAAAATTTTTAAATTAATTTTACTCACGTCAATTCAGGCTCCTCATATTTAGCAGGGTTGTTTGGAGACATACAGTAAGAATTCAACCTAAGTTGTTAAGTCTCCAGCTTCATTAGCAGGGTAAAAAGTAATCAGCAACGTCTGTGTGTGTGTGTGTATGTGTGTGTGTTAGAGAAAACATCTGTACGATTCACTTTTCTGTGATGGTAAGCCGAGCAAAACTAAGGGTTATTCACAATAATAACATTTATGTGCTCAGGCTTTTACAAACAAAAACAAAAACAAAAACAACGCCAGTCATTTGAAGTTATTATAAGAAGAGAAAAGGGGCTTCCTGATCATATAATCCAACTTTTCATGTCCAAATAGTCCTTTAAATGTGGCAATTTATTTGGTGTCACTCTTAATTCTAATGTCCCTTTGCTAAGAAATAAACAAACTGTACTCATATCAAGTGGATTTTTCCTGTTCTGGTTCAGAGCTGAAAAGTTTTGTGTCGGGGAGAAGATCAGACATCAGGCATGCTAAATTTTCTCATCACAATAAGGAATAAATAGTTTGCTGCATTTTATGTAGAGTTTACTACTATACCTAAGCCATATTTAATTTTATTTGTATATTCAAGCTGATATTTCATGTGTCTTTTTTAAGCAGCTGAAAATTTACATCATAAAAATGAACATTATCAAGGCTACAATCCTTCCCAAGATAAAAGGAGTTCTCATGTCTGAATAATATCTTTATAAGCCTTGAAGGATTTTACCATAACCCTGTGAATTAGATTTTCACCTGAGGCAGGTGATATGTAAAACATTATCGTCCATGTTTGGCTATAACTCCCATTGATTCAATCAGTCCATGTAGTGCTACACATACCAGGCAAGTGGCAAAACACAACGGACATCATTTGATATTCCAAAAACAGCACAAGCAATGTAGAGTCAGGTCTAAAGCAGAAATAACATTTATGAATTAGTAAGAGTAGGAGGTCATACATCTGATCTAGTCATTACTCTTTACGGCAGTCCCCTTTGCCAAAATGTATGATGGTGGATCAAGTAATTTTTCTTGAACAAAGGAGAGATAATCAGCTTTTCTCAATCTTCTGCAATTCACATCCAATCCTTGTTGAACCCTGCAACTTTCCTACACACCAATCTAGTTCAGTTATGAATTCCAAAGTCATTTATGGTACACTAACTATATGCTAGACATTGTGCCAAAGTCTGGGGTTGCGGCAATTAAGAACATCCAACTCCAGCCCTGTGGAAGAGAGAGAGAGAGAGGAGGTCTTGCAGACTGTGCTTCACTGCAAGTCGTATCATCTCCGCTTGCATCTGCACAGCCATCTGCACGTCGGATGTTCCAACCCAGCAGCACCTGGCCAGTCTGCACTACTCCGCCAGCAGCGGTTCGCTTCTCTTAACTGGGCTCCTATGACTTTCCTTACACAACTCTTGTGGTTTCCATGCCAGTGTGGATAAGGTCCAGCGCCCAGCATCAAGGTGGCCCAAGGTGAAATTAATCAGGCGTTTCCGTTGCCCAAGACAGCAACGCAAATTGGATCGAATTAGGTGGAAGAGCAAATGTGTCTGCCCATGTTGCCAGGAAGGATAGGAGCATGTTTAGTGAGATGGGACCAGAGCTTGATGCTGCCAGGATGTGTTCTGCTTCAGTTTCTGCTTCTTTCTGAGCATCACTTCCACTCCCTTTGCCTTTTTCTTTTAGGACCATGCCTATGGCAACTGTCAATGCATATACTTAGAGCCTCATGAACAGAATGAAGAGAGGGTTTCATTTTCCCAACTCAGAAATTCCCGGAGAAGAGCTCTAAGTTGCCTCATTTGTGACACTAGACAAAAGCTTGAGCATGCCCATCCTGGGGATATATCACCCCTGTGACAGGGGTAGAGTCTTCTACCACAAGGAAGAGACTAGTTGAAACACATCCACTAGGAAATCTCCATGGACAGGACAGTTACCCAGTCACTGTATACTTCATAGGTGCCTTACATTTTCTTTTCCAGAGGCTTCCCACATGGACTGCGGAAAAGTCACATCTCCTCATTTGGTCTAGCGATAAAACTCCCACAGCTGAGTTCTCTGCCTGATTACTCTTTTTCCTCTATCACTTGCAATTGTCCCTGACCCTTTTTGATATCTATATCCTAGTTCCCATATCCAAGTTATCCTATTTTTTTTGTTTTGTTTTTTAGATTTATATCTTCAGGTACAGAGTCTAACATGTATGAGATTGCAACCTACTTACAGGCATGAATTAGTCTATTCAAATGGCTATATGGATTTATTGCCCATTGCATAAAAAATCAATGGAACCTAACAAAGAGTGTAACACAACCTTATCCTTTCAAAGTGGAGAACTTACCTTCACATTGACCTAGTCTTCACATGATTGAAAAAAATGCCAAAAATACTGAGATGAGGTCAAGATAATGTTTGATTACTCAAACACATTCAATATTTGTGGACCACATTTACTTTCCATTAGCTAATGCATGCGATTATAATCTTACTAATGATCCATATTATTACTGTTTCTACCTTTGTTTTTGAGAGATAAATTCTAGTCATTAAGAGTCAAATGAAACAAAATCCTTTTCCCCCAGCACAGACTGAAGCATATTCATTGCTTGATAAATGTTTTTGACTAAAAATACTCAACTATGCAATAATCATATGCACTTTCAATAAATTATTGGTGATACCTTTTGGTCATCACTTGTCCCACATGACTCTTGACACAGAAGACCCTCCGTGTCTGAATGCCCACACCACAGGTAGCTTCTCCAGTCCAGCCAATGGTTGCATTAAGGGCAGTTACCAATGTGTCTTCAGAACAGGGGCCCCAGGGCAATGTGTCCCAGTAGAGCTGCATACAGGAATGGTCATTGCATGAACGATATTCTTGGAGGGCCTGACTAGGGGGACACAGTTTTCCACCTGTGAAAATCAAAATACAAAAGAATACATAGTTGTTGCTGTTGTTATTACCAGGTTGCTGTTACGTCGTTCTTATTTTTGTTGTTTTTGCTATTTTAATGGTCCAGAAAGATGGTGTTTTTGATACAGGATTCCGAAGGCCTGGGCCTCTGAACCCTTCTGCCCTTTCTAGGGCCATGATTCTTTTGTCCTGAGTAACAATCTGAGGGTAATATATTGTACTTTTCCCTCCTAAATAATAGGCAGCAATACACATTGATTAGACCAAAAACAAAACAACAACAACAACAAAAACCAGATTCTATTTGCCACCTTTGGATCATGTATCTCTGAGATAAACTCCAAAGAAATCTGCTTTTATTTTAGTAACACGATGACTACATAAATTAGTCCGTTAGATACACTAGCCCGTGACCTTAAAGTGGTATTAGGTCAAACATATACACTTACACACACATTATCTATATCTGGCCTCTTTTTCCTAAGAGAGCATTATTTTTCTCAGAGAATCATTTTAAGACACCCATCCTCCATCAAGCAATGCATTTTACTGCAATTTGAGAAATCCAGAAGTGTCTCTTAAAGTTTGGCAGAAGAGAGCCCATCCTCAAACTCTGAAATGATATCTGACAATGTGTTATCCACTGGCAGGGAGACCAGACAGATGTGCATCCTTACACTCTTGGGTGAGTCAGACAATCAAACTTCATTACTGTCTTTTCTTTCATATTTTTATATCCATGTAAAAACTGGCATTTACCTAACATATTGATTTTTTTCCTACTCTTCCACCTTATGATGTTTTATTCAGTGGGCCAAATGCTCAAAAAGATCTGTGACCTTGGTTTTGTTATTCTTGTTATTTTTTTCCCATTAAATACTACTGACTTTTTTCTCCTTCCAGAAATATAAAAGACAAGAGCGCAAAGTAACTGCACTTTAAGAATATGAAAATATTCATTCATCTTGACCCTGGCCCCATTTTTCAGGATCACAGAACAGAATCTTGTTTCAAAAGGAGCTCCTCACAGCCAGTGGCCACACCATCCTGCTGTTCTAACTGAGCCATAGGCAGACGAAGCCAAGGGAGAGCCTGAAAGAAAGGACATGTGCGTCTGGGGACACACACCATTGCTATAAATGATAGAAACAGCTGCTCCTCCAATTTGTTCTGATGTCACCCGTCTACATTTCCATAGCACATTTTAGCTTCTTCAAAGCCATTTTCAGAGCCTTCATCTATCTTCTTCCCTCTCACAACATGCCAGCATGACAGAACAGGAAATCAGGCCGACGTTAGTGGCAGTTCCTGGTCAAGAAGCCATGTCTCTTGATTCCTCATTTGGAGCTCTTTTTACCAGACATATTCCAATTATATTCTCAATGTATGAGCTACCTGAAGCTGGATGTGTGTCAATCAAACTTTGCTTTTTTTATCCCCAAGAAAGTATAATGAAAAATAACATCCATCTGATTGCCATGGCCTATATATAGGTATGAGCTAAGACAATTCCTGTAAATATAGGACCCAATCTAGATCAACTAGAGGATTAAAGAGAAAAGGCATGCATGGAAATGAAACTTAGTTTTGATTCAGGCAACAGAGCTATCACCTATCCGTGGCTACTTCTACTCTATGACTTTCTCAATTGTTTACTAGAAAAAAAATAATAAGTTGGCAATTGACTCCACTGTTGAAGCCTTTCCTATTACTCACCTTCTCCAGCCAATGCCAAGATAGTCCTTGACCTGGTCTGTTTCCCATCTGAATTTTTATTTGAACAAGACTGGGAACAGGACGACCACTCTGTCCACTCACTCAGCACACAATCCATTCGGCAGGGAATTTCACAAGGCATCCTTTCAGGAGGCGGGGATGCTGGGCAGAGACTCCCTGATACATCTTCTCCTGTAATCAACCAGATTGAGACAAATGCTGATTATTGCACAATTGAGGACAGTCCAAGGAACATTTAGGCATGTTGCTTCCTCTGTTACTTCAGTTTAGCCAAGAAGACTTCACCAGGTGTCTAAACCAATAAAGTGTGAAAAATGATGGCTTCTTCAGCAGTTCATAATATTTATGTCAAGAAAAACTGCCAGGAGATCATTTGGCATTTAGAAAGTTAGACACCACAGCAAAACTCTCATTTGTCATCCTTCGCAGGGACAAAATGGGCTTCTTCCAGGAACAACTGAGCCATGGATGGCTACGGATAGACATGATTGACCTGCTATTGACAACCATGTGTAATAAGTGTATGTTTTTCTGCAAAACAGGAGCCAGAATAGTCTGTTGGTCTGCAAACCTCAATTTATGTTGAATACTCTATCCTATGCTATAAAGAATTACATCATTCTAATTACCTATTGGGTGCTTTTACCTCCAAAAATGTAACTTTAGGCAAGGTTATCACATGACGATTCTTTTGTTCTGTTTGGACCTAGTGGTAAATCATCCCAAACCACAATGGAAAGGGACTTGTGGTTAAAATTAATGTTGACACAAAGTTGAAAGCCCACATGAAATTTTCCATATTACATTTATCATTCCCCCTCTGAATGATCTGATGAATTACTCAAATTATATATATATATATATATGGTAGTTTTGGGGGTTTTTGTTTTTGTATTTACAATGAACAGATGTTAAGACTAAGGGGATCATTTCTAAGTTACTTTTCTATATCTCAAATAACTATAATAATTTAAAAAATTCTCTTTTAGGTTATATAAGAATAGGTCACTATTATAATTCTAGTGTTACTCTTTATAGATAATAGTTCGACTCTTACTATTTGCCCTGTTCACTGTCACCTCATAAAAACAAAAGACATGAAGAATAACGATATAGTTTATAGTTTGAAGTAACAACACAGAATGTGGAATGGCATCTATAGGAAGGAGGCAGTTTTGTCTCTGCGACTTTACACCTGTGGAATTCTCCTGTCATAATCTGCTTGGTGCAAAAAATAAGTACAAAGGGGACTACTACTTATGGGGCATCTCCTTTGTGCCAGGCACTGTCCTCGTAAGAAGCTCTTGGAGGCAGGTGTAACCCATTTTGTTTTATAGATGAGGAGTCAGCGGTTCCAGAAGGAAAACTTGCTCAGGGTCACGCAGGTCTGAGTTGGGTATCAAATTAAAACTTTCTGACTCCAAAGCTTCTGCTTTTCCCATTAACCACATTGTGTCTAATTCTACAGAGATGGATATTCCTTTGCTGAGGAAGTAAATAAAACCAGCCGACAGTGAGAAAGACTGCTTGGAGGAGAAGACAGTCCACTGTTAACATCTGCATTCATATTTGTAAATGAGGCCAGGCTCATTGCCCCTGAGGTACAAATAAAACTTTTCAAGCATATTATGAGAAGTAATAGAGATTCTAGCAGATAATCAAGCTGAAAGACCAGTTCCAATCATTCTCTTTTCAGTCTTAATCTATTTTCAGGTTGAGTCCACACTGTATGTTACACACATATATACATGCACACAGATACTATCTCTCTGCCACATACACACACACACACACACACACACCAATACAGCTGAGAGGTAGTACTTCCCCAAGTACAGAAGCAAGGAGACCAAACAAATGCCCAACCTGCATCTAATCAAAAGTTAATTTCCACATTTGTGAATATTATTAACATAATTTTAATACAAGGCACTTTATTTTTCTTAAGATTTTTTATTTATTTATTTGAGAGAGAGAATGAGATAGAGAGAGAGCATGAGAGGGGGGAGGGTCAGAGGGCGAAAGAGGCTCCCCGCTGAGCAGGGAGCCCGATGTGGAACTAATACAAGGCACTTTAAAGCAGTGTCTTGCAAAGGACATTTTTGAGGAATATAGGTATTAGTAGGGTTCTTACAAAAAAGTGGGAGAAACCTGTGAATACTGGGTTAAAACAGTAAAGTTGGTCTCACTACTGAAGAACTACTCAGAGTGTTGAAAATGTCAATGTACAGTGTAAATTTCCTAGGGTGAAAATGGTGGGTAGTGTTTTTCAGCCTTATCTGACTAATGACCATACTTTTTTGAGAAGAATATCTCCTAGTAGTGGTATTTTTATGAATATGTTTTTAGAAAACTCTGCCTTCAAGAGTTATACAATTATCAAGCACTATTTGATGAGCATGTACTATGTCCAAGGTGTATGATGAGGTAAAAATTAGTGAAGATACTATTACTTACCCCCCTCGAGTTCATGCTTCATATCAGAGATGAGCTATAAACATATACAAAGAAAACTTAGTCCGAACGTAAATGCCAAGTTCCAAAGGTCTGTTTCAAACAGGAAATACTGTTGTAGCTCAGGGGAGAGAAGGTCCTCTGGGGTCTATCTAGCATGATATCAGGAGGCTTTCAACAAGGAAAAATAGAAAGGCAGAAACGTGGTGGCAATGGAAGAGGGTACTTCAGGCAATGAAAGTATCAACGAAAGTATGGTGGTAGGAAAATACCATGTATTTAGAAGACAATAGGGAAGCTGCATGAAGAGAAGAGAAAATCCATATTGGAAGAGTGATCTGACATCACATTCTGAATGACTTAGACAGACACACAACTTCTGTCATCTTTCTGCCTCCCTTAAATTCCCAGTTGCTCAGGTTTGCCAAGACCCAAATTTAACATCCTCTCTGGTCATCACTCGGCACCCTCATTATTCATGTCAGGAGCTCAAAGGCTTTGTAAAACCTAAGCTTTCATATAAACTGATATACCTATTTCCTCAGTGCAGTTAAATGTCAATAATCCCACCAACATTTTGATAGCTTGTCTATACAGGCTAATTCAGACATGTGAGCAAACAGATGAGATTTTCTTCAGGGAAACCAAACCACTAGTCGTAAGCAGGGTCTGTAATTTGTGAGTGAGCTGCAGGATGGGATCCTAGTTACAAAGTGTCCTAGCTGGATACAGTTAAGTGTCCACAGGCGAATCCTAAAAAACAAAATTAAAAAAAAAAGGGGGGGGGGAATCCTAGCACCACTTATCCTCTTGAATGTGTCACTTAACTTCTTTGAACCTCAGTTATTTCATCTGTAATAAAGAAATAACAACACCTTTCAGGGATATTCTAAGGATTATAAATCATTTATGCAACATACCCAGCAAGGCATCTAGCATATGGATGGCTCTCAATATATACAAAGCTTTAAAAAAAACAAACTGTTGTTTGCAAAGATGTGCTCCACAAAAACGTAATGGCCTTTTTTATCTGAAAAATCTAGAGAATGATGTTACAGCCATGGAAAGCACTGGCTTTGCCACTCATATATGCGTACAAATAACAACCAACAGCTTCACAGCCTGGTTCACATAAGCTATAAAAACTATTTATAATTATCCAGATCATTTTATTTATATGGTTGGTGAATCTAAACCATTTAAGAGCCAAAAATAAAGCACTTGAGCCTGAATAACCTCATCTGCCCATTCATATCAGTATAATTATCTTCCCATTGTACAGAGAGAATCCATCTCAAAAGAAGAGCATTTTTATACTTTCCTGTTTTCATTTTCTCGGATGGATCAATGAGACCAACTGAAATCTCAGGCAAGCATGGAAAATAAAGTGGCACATGGGACAGAAACTTAGCCATTAATAGTGATTTTCACAAGCTCTGATAATCTAATGTCATAATAAAACAGAATATATTTAAGAGGGAAATTGAATTCATCTTTCAAGAAGACTGTGAAATTGCTTCCAGCCCTCATCAGCCTCCCTAGGATCAATAATGACAAACTCCACATTCTCTCCTCACGGAGTATACTTATTTAAACCAGTTGTGACTCTGAGAATATGGGGTATGATGCTGCTTCAACGTTGCCTCTCCATTTGTTTTGAATAATTTAACACGGTGAAATTTACATTGTATAAAATTAACCATTTTAGAGTAAACACTTCAGTAACAGTAACATTTAGTAAACCACAATGTTGTGCAACCACCACCTCTATCTAGTTTCAAAACATTTTCATCACTCCAAAATAAAACCCTTTACCCATTAAGCATTTTCTCCCCATTACTCCCTCTCCTCAGACTCTGGCAGGCATCAAGTTATGTTCTGTCTCTACAGATTTATCTATTTTGAGTATTCCATTATCAATGGCATTATACAATTTCTGATCCTTTGTGTCTGGCTTTTTTCACTTACCATAATACTTTGCAGGCTCATCCATGTTGTACCATATACACTACTTTATTCCATTTTATGATGGAATAATATTCCATTGTATGTATATACCACAATTCATTGATCCATTCATCTGCTGATGGACATCTTTTGGCTATTGTGAATAGTGCTGCTATGAACATGCTTATATATGTACTTGTTTGCTTACCTGTTTTCAATTACTTTCAGTATATGCCCAGGAGTACAATTTCAGGGTCATATTAATCACTGTTTAGTTTGTGATTCTGGGGACTGTGGCATAGATGGCCAGATGACTAGGTCTTGGCCATAGTTCACACTACTGTCCTTCTCTCTTCCCATTTCCAGCTAAAAGCAAAAGTACTTAGATGAAGTGAAGATTCCTGAGCATCTGAATACACTCACAATTCCCTAAAAATATTTCTTTTTCCAATTCAAATACTACTTAAAGTATAAAGAGCTCATGCAAACTCTATGGCTACTGGTCAAGCACCCATCTAAATTTAATGCTGATAAGCTATTAGAGTTTGGGCTTTCCATAGCAAACCAGTATTTAAACTATACCTATGCTATATACTACATCCTATAACATTCTTTGTTTTGTGACCTCTGAGGAATTAGAATTTAATATTATGAAGTACCATCTATCTTTTAAATTTTTTAAGATTGATCTATTTCTTTTAGAGAGAGGGAGAAAGAGAGAGAAAGAGCATGAGTGGGGGGAGGGCCAGAAGGAGAGGGAGAGAGAGAAT